GGAGGCTCCGCTCGGCTCGGATCGGATCGGATCGGCGCCAGCAACCGCGGCTGTGCCTGCCCTGACACTGTTCCGCTGCTGGCCCTGCTCCTGTTGGAAAGGCAGTCACGGTGTAGGTGTCTGGGATGGTGAACCGATTCCGGCCGTAAGCCAGACCTTCTCGCCTCTTTGGTCAGATGCTGATCGGTAATTTATCTTTACAGTGGGCGTGTATATCGATCTCTTTAGGATTCTGTTAAGTTTGCCGTGTGATGATTGTAAGCATCATTTGCAGAATACTCTTGTTACAGCTTACAGATGCAGTTTGTTTACTAACATGGTTTTAGACGGAATCCCCATCTGCTTCTGTATTACAGCTTGTTTCTATGAGGAAAGCTCAGTTGTGCAAAAATAAAGGAAGTTAACAGTAGTCTTGAGCTTGTACTTGGGCATTTGTTATCATCAGACCTTATAATTACATCTCATAGTTATGTAGCCAAAAGCCATGGTTTTTCCTTGCTCATTTACTGATTAAAGAGATTATGGAGGATATATAAGAATAGGAGAACCACTTTACTTTCCTACTCCTGTGGGATTTTTATCTCATGTCCTTTTTCAACTGAAAAAGGAAGGTGAATAGGAGTTTTTGTTGGTGGTTTGGTTTTTTTTTTTTTTGGTTTGGTTTTTTTTAGTAAAACCACTGACTAGAATTTCTCTGACAACTGAAATTTTGTACTTCTTTGTACAGAATTTGTATCCCTTTGTATCCCTCCTCCTGAGGGACATTGTCTTGTCAGCACTATCTTATTCACTGGCATTTTCATCACGTCTGAGTGATGCCTGACCTTTGTTGGAGAGAAGTAAAGAACGTAGCATAATCCACAGCTCTTAGATGCTTCACATGGGTTATTGTGCCATTCTGAGATACGTGTTTCTGTAGATTGTTTTGCTGCATTTTTTGAGAGCATTACCTGTAAAAGAAGCCAGTTCTGGTTGAGGAAGGCAGGAAGTGAAGGAGGCTCTTCTGAGACACATTGTTTAGTGTGAGTTCTGTTTCAGCATTAAAGGAATAGATGTTATCCTTGTGGCCAGGACCCTAGTTCGCAGTGGGAGTGTTGTCAGTTCGAACTGATTTTGGGTGGTTTTGGCAGCTTCTCTCACTGCTCTGCACCTTTCTCACGTGTAGCAGTCAGCTCCAGCAGCAGCACGAGTTGAAGCAGGAGAGAGCAGCTCCGATGAACTCAATTACTGTAGTCCTTGTGTGCCCAGAAGGGAATTTTTCCTCTTGCATCAAATAGGTTACAAAGTGGTGTCTTGTCCCTTCCCCCAGCCAGCTGGGTGGTTCTGTCCTGTGCTGCCACAGCAGGAACTGTTTCCTTCACAGCTGGAAAAGTGCTGTGTCATCGGCAGGAACACAGGCACCGTTCTTCTCCTGGTGGGCTCCCACACAGCCATTGTGTGCGTTCCCAGGCACAGGAACAAGCATATTCATTCCTTGTACAGCAGGCTGACAGCTCCATATCTAACGCTGATGCCTAAATGTGATCAGTAAATTAAAACTTTCAACAAATGGATCTGTTGCCTTCTACATTTTCTTCTTCCTCAATTGATCCAAGTGTTGAAAATTGAAGAAAACAATGATGTCAGTCTTCACTGACCTACATTCAAGAGCAAAACACAAGTGAAATTCAAATAAGAAAATCTGAACATCATGTTCTGTACCTTGAGCTATTCCAAATTTTCTCCCTTTTTAAAGGAGACGTAGCATCAAGGCCAGCTATGTTTTTATCACTGTGTTATAAACCACACATACAGAGTGAGTCCTTGTTTAGAAAAGAGCCTTTCTGGATCCACAAAACAGAATCAGAAGGTGGGCTGTGATAGCTGAGTCAGTGTATTTAATATTTTTATGCCATTTGTCTTTCCTAGGGAATGTGACCAAGTGATTCTGTCCAGTTTTATTAGATGAATTATGCTATTAAATCAAATATTCAAACTGTATTCAAACTTCAATACTGTAACGTATTTTAAAGGGCTGTTATAAAACAGTGGTCCCCTGAAGATGGGTGTTACTGGACTAACAATGAAATAGTAATCCTAATGTTAGTTCATTAGTGACTCCCATTAACATGAACATTTTCAGTGCTGTTATTCAGAAGAGAAAATATTTGGGGTGAGAGGCAGAAATAGAACCATTTCCTCAAGTTCCCCTTGAACAAGAAAAAAAAGAAACTTCTGAAATGTGTAGTTTTCAACATTGGGAAAGGATTTATTTCTCAGTGCAAATGACTCAGTTGATGATGCCCTTCAAGCTTGAATGCTGCATGTAAATGAAATTTTGGAGGAGCTGTAGTTTAAGCTTCACTTGCAAGTTATGTAAACCTTTAATTTAATTTCCCCATCTTTACCTAAGGCTGGCAGTACACTTGCAGAACTCTGCTTGACTGAAGCACAACCAATTCCTGCTCTGTGAATAAGCTGGGGAGAGAATTGTAAGCTCACAGCTGCCTGTGAAAACGAACTCCCTGATTAAATTAATTTGATAGCATTTCCAGGATTATCCATATGATTCCATAACATAATATTGTCTACACAGATGTGCTGCAGAAAAATTCACACCATATGAAACATCTTTTACTCTTTTTGTTTCAGTCTGTCACATGACTGATTCATGACATCCTGTGATTGACTCGTGGATGTGGATTGTCATTCTTTTAATAATTTCCAACCTGATGAATGCTGTGCTTAAAGAAAAACTCCTTATTGTCAGTCACTGGTATCAAGACTTTGCATCTGCTTCTGTTCAGTTTCACTGCATTTCCATTGTTGTAGCTTTCAAAACAATTTTATGTGATACTCTCTATCACTGATGCATCTTCTTGCTCTTGGCAGATTTCCCGTGCACTTGGGCTTCCTTTTTTTAATATAAAAAGTCACTGGTTAAAGTGGTAGACAAGACAACTTGCAAGATATCTGCAGTTTCTAAAGAAGTTTTACTGAAACATTGGGATCAAAGAAATGCAGAGCTATGGTAACGGGAGAACAGTTTCAACAATTACATAGTGCCTGTGACTTTGATGAGAACAGATTAAATTTCAAATTTATCTTCATTGTTTGCAGAACACTTAGTATTCCTTGAGTTCTGAGTCTCAAGGAAAACTCCTTTCATTCAACTCTAGCGTTTTTTTTTTTTAATTTCCTTCTTTTATGCTGCCTTGGTACTACAAACCACAGTGTGGTCCCCAGTTAAAGCACTCAATAAGCAAGTTAGACGTTCATTGCAGGAGGGTTTGATTCCAACACACTGCAGAGAAAGATTTCTTTGTCCTGTTTTTGTTGGTGATGTTGAAATCAAGCATGGTTTGATTTCTTCCTACTTTTACATGGCAGTTAACATCATGCTAACAACAAAATTTTGGGGAAGATGAGATTATTTTTGGAAATAACAAAAATTGTGTCAGCTGATGTTGTATTGGGAAGTAAAGCTTATTTAATTTTCAAATGAAAGTGCTATTGCTGAGACTTCAGGATTTATTTTTCTAAAAATCTTTAAAAATACAGGCTCCAAGACACTTTCAGAAATTTGTAGTTTCTCTCAAGTGTCATCATTCCTCCTGGCCTCACTTGTGAGCAGCTTTGAAAGTTAAAGCTTCTGAAATTGTGTGAATACAACAGTCACCTTCAGCACCAACTTGTCAGTATCGTTAATTCAGAAGAGTAGATTTCTGTGATCATGCAACTCTTCTCACTGCTGGTAGTTTGTGTTATTTTCCAAGATGAGCAATAAAGCATATTTTCCTCTCCTTGTCTTTGTGTTTTCAGATCCAGCTATGGGACACTGCAGGCCAGGAGCGCTTCAGGAAGAGCATGGTGCAGCACTACTACAGGAACGTCCACGCTGTGGTGTTTGTGTATGACATGACAAACATTGCCAGTTTCCACAGCCTGCCCTCCTGGATAGAGGAGTGCAAACAGCACCTTCTTGCCAGTGATATACCACGGATTCTGGTTGGCAACAAATGTGACCTGAGAAGTGCAATTCAGGTGCCCACGGACCTGGCCCAGAAGTTTGCTGACACTCACAGCATGCCATTGTTTGAGACCTCTGCCAAGAACCCCAATGACAATGACCATGTGGAGGCCATATTCATGACACTGGCTCACAAGCTTAAAAGTCACAAGCCATTAATGCTTAGTCAACCCCCAGATCATGATGAAATTCATATAAAGCCTGAACCAAAACCTATCACATCCTGCTGGTGTTAGGTCACATTGTCGCTGGTTATCACCTTGTCTTGTTTGCAAGTGCTTCAAAATTATGATCTTTGGCAAAGTTACAGGTTTTAGTAGCAACTATAGCAAATCTCTTTGGCACTTTAATGTGTTTTTTATTTTAATTTTTCTTGGTGTAGATGTGCCCATCTTATGCTCTTG